TGTCGATCCCGAGCAAACTGTCCCTCTCCTGGGCTGTCAGTGTCGGAAAGTCCTCCTCTGTTTCACTCGCTTTTCCCGCCGCCATTTTCTTTCCCTCATCACCACCAGAAGAAGCCGAGCCGAGACTCCGAGCGGCGGCGCAGGCAGCGGCGGCGGCGGCGGCGGCGACAGACACGCCGCACGATTGCATGGAAAAAATCGCGACGCAGGGGGGAACCGAGCGGGGGGGGTTTCTCCGCCGAATCAAAAAAAAAAAGGAAAAACCGAAGTAAATAAAATGATCAAAAACTTTTTTTTTTCCAGGATGAAAAGATGCGATTCGATGTAGTAAATCCTTTCGGGAGGGGGGGAGGGAGGGGGGGAGAGAGAGAGAGAGAGAGAGAGAGAGGGGGTGGTGGGGGGGGGGGTTACAGAAGCGCTCTCCGGGTAGCTCCTAAAGCGTCACATTTTTCTTCGTAAAAGTGAAACTCCGTGCCGCTGTTTTGAACGCGCGTCGCTGAGTGCATTAATCCGACGATGTGAGTGTTTCACAATAAAACGCGTTTCGGCCGCGAAGGTAAAAAGTTGTTGTAATTGTGTCACCCAAGCGAACCCACGCGCCGCTCTGGCCACGCCCTCTTCCCCCCCCCCTCCTTCGCCGCAGCCAATAGGAGTGCCCTAAACTCACCGTATGACTTCCCTCTGCTATATCGTTCTTTATCTCAAATATTCGTTTTCTCCCTTTGCAAACCACTTGTTATGGAAGCCCATTTCCGCCGGTAAAAAAATAAAATGAAAATGAAAATAATAAAGTCTCATTGTTTTGACTTTTTATCTCATTATTTTGACTTTTTATCTCATTATTATTATTTTATATCTCATAATTGTGACTTTATATCTCATAATTGTGACTTTTATCTCAGAATTGTGACTTTTTATCTCATAATTTCGACTTTATATCTCATTATTATGACTTTTTATCTCATTGTTTCAACTTTATATCTCAATTTCGACTTTATATCTCATTATTATTACTTTTTTATCTCATTATTTTGAATTTTCTCATTATTATGACTTTATATCTCATTATTTCAACTTTATATCTCAATTTCGACTTTTTATCTCATTATTATGATGAGATATAAAGTCATAATAATGAGATAAATATTATGACTTTTTATCTCATTATTATGACTTTTTATCTCATTAGTTTAACTTTTTATCTCATTATTTTGAATTATCTCATTATTATGACTTTTTATCTCATTATTTTGAATTATCTCATTATTATGACTTTTTATCTCATTATTTCGACTTTTTATCTCATTAGTTTAACTTTTTATCTCATAATTTCGACTTTTTAACTCATTATTATTACTTTTTATCTCATTATTTTGAATTATCTCATTATTTTGACATTATATCTCATTATTATGACTTTATATCTCATAATTTTGACTTTTTATCTCATTACTATGACTTTATTATTTTCATTTTTATTTTTTAACTGGCGGAAATGATTATTATTATTCAATTATTCTGAAGGAAATTGAAAAAAAAACTCACCTTTAAACTTCTTTACAAAGCCTATCCAAAGTTACGACTGTAATATTTACTATCCTGCTTTTTAGATGCCTGACTCAAAGCAGCCGGACTCAAACATAGATCATCCAAGATAGGTTGGCAAACTGTGTTAAAAAGAACACACATATCCTTATTTTGCACAGCTAAAAGATCCTTTCTGGCATAACTGAGGACGTTCTCTGCATTACTGTGGTACAACACACTCTTCTCTGCTGTTTACATTACTTGCTGCTATTTATCATACCAAGTCACTTTATCTTGTCATTATCTGCAAATACTGTCTCAATTCTCAATTCCCCCCAGTTAACTTCATCATTCATTTTGTACTGTATATACCCCCTGTTTTTATTTTTTTTATTTTTTTATGATGCCTGTCCCAAAACAAGGTGACTCATTTGATATCCTCAAGTAAAGAAAAGCCCATGGGATATCAATTTAGCATCTCAGTCCAATTTGAATTAAAGTAAAGGAAGTTCGTTCTCTGGAAAATTCCCACATAAAATACAATCTCATATTCGGTTATTTGTATTATTATTGGTATTTGACACATGGGTATCATGGAGCCTATAACATCATGTTAATCTGCTATTACTCATGAAGTCACTTCCTTTTCTATTTTTAAACTGTTTGTTACAACATTGCAAAAACAAATATATCGAGAGAGAGTGACAAAGAATGAAACAGTAAAACTTAGTATAAGTAATAATCAATTATTCCATTGTAACAACAATAATAATCTATAATGATATTATAACAACGGCAATACGCAGATGAATATAAAGAAAAGTAACTCGTATATAATACAAATCTATTCAAATATTTTTAATCTAAATAATAGATATTTTACTGAGAATAAGTTGCTGCGTTTTGGCAATAACGTCGCCAAATTGCTGCCCAATCAAAGCGTTTGGTTTGAACTGACGTGGCAAGCGTCACAAAGTGGGCGTGGCTTCACATTGTCAACATCCCGGTGACATGTCCGCTTAACACGCATTTGTAGCGACCACATTAGTGTGAGCCCTTCTGTAAACTGTGCTCTCTTTGTACAAAGGTAGAATATTAAATATAAGCAAAGACTAATATGTACAAGGCTAAATAGGATAATGGTGCAAAGATGCTGAAGTAAACATGAGGTAGTTTTTACATTAAAAAGTGAATATGATCATTAAATATTTTATATATTCTGCTAAAAGAATCATCACATCCTTCATTTTAGAGTTGTTGCAGGATGTGTCAAACTGGCTCAAAGTAAGTGACAAATGAAGGGTATCACACGTGAAACAAGGTTTAAAAGGAAGTCAATTTATTATCAAATAATCATAATTATGTAAATCAGTCATGAATGCAATGTGTGGATGAGTGTAGTGTTATACAGTGTGAAGAAAATCAAACCAGTTGGTGGAGGCCTGGGAGAAAGAGAGGGGAGACACGTTAGACCACAAAACTCCAAACGGTCAGACGTCACTCAAACCAAAATGATGAAAAGATCAAAACAAGGACAAATGCTACTCCTTTCCCACAACCACCAAACAAATTCTTCCTTTTCTAAGACCTAGAAAACGAAAAGAGCCAAGAAACAATTTCATGTGGACGCCTCCTTCCATATGTGCCCGAAACAAGCACTTCAGACCTGGTGGGAAAGAAAACAACAGGTTAGGCAAACAGATAATTCCAAGTTAGGCATTTTTAACAGTCATGAATGCAATGTGTGGATGAGTGTAGTGTCGTAAAGTGTGAACAAAAGCAAACCAGTTGGTGGAGGCCTGAGAGAAAGAGAGGTGAGACAAGTCAGACTGGAAGCCACTTATAAGCAGAGTCCTGATGGACTCAGGTGTACCCAGTTGGACTAATCGCCTTCCTGACTCAAGCCAGGAAGCCAAACAAGTGCAGACAGAGGGCGTCACAGCGTCATGACAGACACTACTATGTTTATCATTGTAACACGGGATGTTACGTCCAAGACCGCTGCATAAGCAAGCCGTGAGCTGCTGCTGTTTATTCTTGTCTGGACACTGCAGGCCATAAATATAAATCATTTATTTAACATATATTTAAAAAGAATATAAAATGTTAGACTTGAACGAAACAACATTCAGATCCAGCAGGAGAAACACAGTCTGCGTCTGTCTCTGTGGCTCAAGAGATAGATGGAGGACTTGGAGTCTGGAGGTTGTGGGTTCAAATCTTATCAGGACTCAGGACTATGAAAAAGCAAATCAAGTGTTGGATGAAAGTTAGTTGAGTGTGTTGTCTTACTGCCTTACTACTTATAACCATTCTGATGACTTACTTAAACTATGCCGTCCTGAAGAGTGTTGGATGACTTATGATATGTTAACACCAAGAAAGAATTTATGTGGAAATTTCACTGTCTGCATCTAGGTCATTCAGGGACTGCTGCAGGAAGTTTACAAGTTAGGTTGAGGGTTCTTTCTTTAATCTTCAAGGTTTTCACTCCTTATTCAATCTGGTGAATAAATCAAACGGGTCGTTGAATGTACTCGTTCGATGTAGCGGACCATCTCTTTGCTCCCTGCAGCTGATGATTCAAAGACAATGAGGGTCACACTCACCAAACAGACAAAGTTAGTGCAGTAAATGACCCATACATGCACACATTATTAGAGTTATGAGCATATGAAAGTTAATAAAATGAAGGCAAGGAAGAAGAATTTTAAAAGAACCTTTTTAACTTTTAAATGTTTCCTTTTAATTTCTGCTACTAGGAGAAGGTCTAAGGTAAAAAATGCAGCTTTAATATAAATAATTTAGCAAACAATGATGCAAGACTCTAATTAAAAGGTAGAGGTTGAAAATAAATGCATTTTATTGTTTATAAATCACTTTATATAGAAAGGGCGCCCTCTGGTGGTTAGTTGTTGATCTGACTCACTGGATTATTAAACTCTGCTAATCCAACATCACTCACCAAACAGACAAAGTTAGCGCAGTGTGACTCTCATAATACTCAAGGTGTCCGGCTGCAGACGATTAAAATACCTCATTCAGTAACAGCTGCAGACAGACGACAGGCTACATGCTAATGCTAAGCCACATGCTACGCTACGTCAGATGTAATACGTAACAAAATATAACAAGGCCCTCAACTTCCTGTTGACAAATCCAGAGCTACAGATTCACAGATATAAAAAGACTGACAGCGAGTTTAGAGAAAAATGTTTCAGATTAAAAGACAAACAAACCTACATCACCTACATGGGTGTTTGTAAAAAATAAATTAAAAAAATTGTAATAAATAAATAAATAAATAAATAAAATAAAAATAAAGAGAGACAAAGAATTAAATAGTAAAACTTAGTATAAGTAATAATCAATTATTCCATTGTAACAACAATAATAATCTATAATGATATTATAACAACGGTAATACTATATTTTATATCTTTATAATACGAATCTTATTTTTAGTCTATGGTTTGAACTGACGTCACGAAGTGGGCGTGGCTTCACATTGTCAACATCCCTGTGACATAATCAGTCTCTCCAAAATGGCGACGGTGGATAACAGAGAAGGTTCGTTATTATGTTAGGCACAACAACGCCGTAATAACCATAAAGAATATCGACTTTTTGACATTGTTTTTCACACCGGCTTAGTGTTCGTGAAGCGTTTTTACCTCTACGCTTTTTAAAATCTTGAATTAATTCTATTATTATGGATTGGTAGCCATTAGATGCTAGGCAGCTAATGTTAGCGTCTCAATTAATTTATATGGGATAAAGTAGCTTCTAGTTGCTTCTAATAGGCTTAATAGCTTTGACAGGTCACCTTCTGGTTTAGTTTATTTAAGTTATTTAAATTTAAGTTGTAGTAGGCCTACATGCACATCGATATTTGGGGGAAGACAATGTATACCGGTGTTATGTCGAAAAATGCATACCTGCCGAAAACAATGTATACCGGTGTTATGACGAGAAATGCATACCTGCCGAAAACAATTTATACCGGTGTTATGTACCGGTGTTATGTCGAGAAATTACCTGCCGAAAACAATGTATACCGGTGTTATGTCGAGAAATGCATACCTGCCGAAAACAATTTATACCGGTGTTATGTACCGGTGTTATGTACCGGTGTTATGTCGAGAAATTACCTGCCGAAAACAATGTATACCGGTGTTATGTCGAGAAATGCATACCTGCCGAAAACAATGTGTACCAGTGTTATGACGAGAAATGCATACCTTCCGAAAACAATGTATACCGGTGTTATGTCGAGAAATGCATACCTGCCGAAAACAATGTATACCGGTGTTATGACGAGAAATGCATACCTGCCAAAAACAATGTATACGGCAGACACAATTTCTACACTGCCGTATATGCACATCAGAGTCAAACACTGTTTGCAGGTGACATTTATGCAAGCTTATGAAAAATGCTTCTTCACAAATACCCCAGAAATACCCGGTTTTATATATAAAAAAAACCTGTTTTCTAACACTTCAGGGATGCAGTTCTTACCATAACACCGGTATATACATATACCTTTTTTTTTAAGGGCTGCTGTTACTGAATTGAAAGCCTTTCGATTTTTTTCTCCATCTTTTCTTCAAAAAATGTGAACAGCGGGTCAGGATGACCCCGAGAGTGAAGAGGAGGTGTATGAGGTCGTGGACCTGACAGAATATGCCCGGAGACACCAGTGGTGGAGCCGGGTGTTTGGGAACAACTCCGGGCCGATTGCTGAGAAGTATTCCGTGGCCACGCAGATCATGATGGGAAGGGTGACTGGATGGTAAGGCACTGACATCTGAATCAAGACAAGACAACAATAATGATCTTATAGGTGACCTTCTGAATCACAATTAAGTTTTCCCTCGGGCCCCATTAGACTCTAGTATCACCACTGCTCATGGATCATAAAAAAGTATCCGGACAAACACTGTGGAAACCACAAACACATGTGATTGTACTATTTCGTCTAACTTTTATGTCTCCATTAATATCCCTGTGTTCTCTCTAGGTGTGCTGGTTACCTTTTCCAGCGAGTTGGGAAGATAGCTGCTACCGCTGTTGGAGGAGGTTTTCTTCTTTTACAGGCAAGTGCACCTTTTGAGCTTCATAAACCCTCTGTACTCACACTTGAACTACATCTTCATTTTTGGAGAAGCCCTCCTTGCTAACACAAGACAGACATAGCATTTTGATTTTTTTGTGCAGAAGTTTGTTTTTTGTTTTGCACACCGCTCTATATGATGTCAATAAAGCACAGATTGTGTGTCAGTGGGACGTGTCGTAAACCGCCAGATGGTGCGATATAGCACAGAGCAACTCGGCTGATAAGACCAAACGAGAGGTCAGGAGCACAGGAGGAGAGCAATGAGGTCAGAGAGCAGCTACCTTCTAATCGTGCATTTTTTTCTTCTCCCTCAGATCGCCAATCACAGCGGCTACGTGCAGGTGGATTGGAAGAAGGTGGAGAAAGACGTGAACAAAGCCAAGAAGCACCTGAAGAAGAAAGCAAACAAAGCAGCCCCTGAAATAAACACATTCATTGAGGAGGTAAAGGTACCTGTAACAAAGCTTGCTCTTTGCTTTTTTTGCTTTCCTTCAATGCACTCTGGTTAATAAGCACCCTGCACTCGACAGACTTTTAATCAACTTGCTTGTTTTGGTTGGGGTTTTATTCTGTCATCTGCAAACCTGCAACGCCCTCTAGTGTTCTGTAAGCAATACTACAGCTGCTCACTGTGACACAGCAAGTTTAAAGGAGAATTCTGGATTTGTTCATTGATACTACTCAAACTAACTAAGACATACCCAAGACCAGAGAGTGCTCCGAGACGAGTTTGCAGCCGTAACCGGGGATGGGATAAGATGTAGGAAGAGGGATAGGGAGCAAGCGGGTGGGGGAGGCAAGCCGTCCATCAACAATCTGGGGGGGGGGTTGTTCTGGCAGGCTGTCAACCAACGATCTCGAGGAGCCTAAGAGAGCTCAAGAGCTCCCAGGAAAGTAGGTGGTTAGTGACTGAGATTTACAGATAGATACATGCAGTAATATGATGTTCTGTATATGCACAGAGAGAGAGAGAGCGAGATAGGAGCTCAAGGTGCCAGTTCCCCCGGTAGTCTAAGCCTATAGCAGCATAACTAAGAGCTGGTCTACACCAGCACCAGCCGGTGGAGAAAGTCACACAGCTTATTAGCTACCACTTTCTCCAGGATCCAGAATTGAAGGGATTTGTCCTTTTAGAAAGGAGCGTGTTCCTTTTAAACTCAGTAATGAGATCAGTCTTGAGAGACCAAGGCTGATTTTCGAGTACTACACCACTGATTGGTACTACAAGATGAAGAATGCTCCCATAGATTGCTTTGCCAACAAGATTACAGCAGACCCTCTGGACCCCCTTCAGTCTGAGTGTGAACTCTTAACTTCAGGGTGCAGGCAAGAGATGTCACATCCTAAGCTCTGAACACACAGTATGAACGTGACACTCTGAACACCTCATGCTGTTGTTGTCCCCATCTTTAAGACAGGAGATCCAACTGATGTAGTTAACTATAGATCCATCAGTATTTTGCCAATAGTATCCAAGATCGCTGAGAAAGTAGTTTCAGAACAATTAACTGACTTTTTAAACTCAGGACAAACCTCGCTTCATCCCATGCAATTTGGCTTTAGGAAAAAATATTCTACTGAAATGGCTGCTGCAACGAGGAGGCAATGCACACGAGTTGGAGATAGGACTTCATCTTTTGTTGACTGCTGTGTTGGTGTCCCTCAAGGCTCAATCCTAGGACCTCTTTTATTCAGTATGTCAATGATCTGCCACTTGTATGCCCAGAAGTTGAAATCCAGATGTATGCACATGACACTGTCATTTACACACATGGTAAAAACAGGGAAGAAATTGCAAGCAAATTAATGTCAGCAATGTCTAAGATTGCAGATTGGCTCAAAGAATCTTGCCTCACACTTAATTTGAGCAAAAGAGCTTGCATGTATTTTTATATACATTATATACATATAAGGAAAAATGGATTTCAACCAGATATCAGTGTAAACGGTGAAAGGATACAGACAGTCTCACATTATAAATACCAAGGAATCCTAATAGACTTGCAACTGTCTTTTAAGAAACACGTGAACAACTATGTAACACTATAAAATTTAACCTAAGGAACTTCAGGTTTATCCAAAACCAGTTACCCATTCATGCAGCAAAGCTATATGTGCACTCAATGATGTTCTCACACATGTCATATTGTATCACAAGCTGGTCGCAAGCAGGTAAAACAACACTCGCCCCTCTCCAAACCCTGTACAAGCAAATACTCAAGGCACTGGACAAAAAGCCAACAAGTTACCACTACTGTAACATCATTCAGAGGTATAACCTCCTAACCTTTGACAATGTTGTGGGTCTTGCTGATGCTTGTCGAGTGTATAAAGTTATTAATGGTCTGGCTCCTTCCCCACTAAAAGAGTTCATATCACCGCGTGCAGATGGAGGAAGAACAACTAGGTGTGCCAACAGATTGTGTTATACAGCACAGATCCTCTATTAGAGCGACACACTTTTGGAACTCCATACCGGCTAAAATCAGAGAGTGATGTAGCTTTGAATTTAAATTCAAAATCAAATCATGGCTCAATCATGTCCTCATCACACAAACACTTTTTCATGAACTATGTTTGACTATGTTTCACACTCACCCAAACCCCTCTGACAAAATCCTTTGTGTTACCTTGAGGACGGCAGAAGATGCTGTGTTTGTTTTGCGTCACCCGGAGGTCCTGTTTCAGGCGGGGTAGAGAGAACAGCTGGTTAATATTCATCATTTAAACTTCAAAATATGTGAAATTAAGTCCAGGCTTCAAATCCAAGAATTCTGCTTTAAGAGCGCCTTTTCACAGTTTTTCTTGCTACTCTTCAAACTAGTGAACAGAGAGTTGTGTTTTGAAGATCTCACCCACTCTCTCTTCCCTCCCGTGCAGGCTACAGACTTCATTAAAAGAAACATCGTCCTCTCCAGCGGCTTCGTCGGCGGCTTCTTCCTGGGTTTGGCCTCCTAAAGCCGCGGCACACACTCCACTCACTTACTTTGAACTACATGGGTCACTTCCCTCTACATGGGACCTCTCAGCTCCACTTTTTTTCTGCACATTACCAGGGAGTGTGGGGGGGGGGTTACTTTGAACATTATCGCATGATCTGTTGTGACAGTGGCATTTACTGTGTTCCATCTACTCCCTGGTGTCAATCAATACATGCTAAAGGGTTCCCGAGGTGAGATATGTTTTGGGTGCTTGGACTAAACTGTGAAGACTTTCTGGAAGTTGGCACGTGTGGGCGCTGCTTTTGTAAATACAGCTGTAAATACCCACACATAAAAAAACAAAAAACAATCTAACATAAAGAAGAGGGAGGGCACCAGAGTGGGACCCCGAATCGGTCGGGCCTCGTTTATAAAATACATATCATGAGATTTAATCTAAATGTTCCATCTGTGAATAACCTCTATTCTACATAATCCCTTGCTCCGGGGAGCATCTGCTGCACCTTAATTACCCCCATCGAGAGCTGGACATCAAGAGACGCCATAAAAGGGCGACGCTGCCGAGTTATATCCTCATATTAACCATCTAGTGTCCACTGGAGTTGATCACAAGTTGCTTATTATTTTTATTTTTTTGCCTTTTGTTACCGATGCAATATGTTACAGGTGTACGTTTTTATTCAGGGTTGAAAGTGCTTGTTATGTCTTTAACTGGCAGATTGTGTGCTCATATTTCCTCATTGTAATGTTGTTAATAGAGCTGTATGAAGCAGTTCAGTGTCTCTTTCAAAATAAAGCTTCCTGATATGTTTTGAGTTATTTTGTCATGTTTTTCTTTTTCTGGGGCGCTTGGTTACTAATGTGAAACAAATCTAGTTTGTCCCTTTAGACACACCGTAGATAGCCCTCCTTAGCGTCACAATGATTAAAAAAAACCAACACTGCTGCGTCTTTGAACATCTCATTTCTCTTAAACAAACTCTCAGACCGCTCAGCTGACGAGTACAAAGTAACACCCACCTCATGACATCACACATCTCCCTTTGTTACCGTTCACTTTGAGATGTTTGAGTTCCTTTTCCTGTGGTTCCTTCAAACTACCAGAAGGTCCTTACTTAATTTCAAAATAAAAGCACGGTTGAATTCAAACAGCAAAGTACAAAAATCTGTTTAAAACGGAGCAAAAGGCAGTACGGGAGAGGATGAGGGCAACTGGAAAAATAAAATGTTGTGTTACCGACTTTTTTTTTCAGAATTCTGAGATTAAAGTCAGAATCCAAAAAAATGTTTCTCAGTGGCCCTCATCCTCTTCCGTAGTCAGAGTAAAAGCCAAACACAGTTGTATTTTTAAACGCAAAATAATGGAATTTCAAACATGCGATTAATCACGATTAACTTTTGAAATTTTGCAATTACCCTCGGTTAAAAATGATAATCGTTTGACAGCCAGTAATTACACCTGGAAAAAGACTCATACTCATTGTTAAAGCCTTTAACGATATAATAAATAAAAACTCTGTGGCACACTGAAAATAACTTTCCTGTATATTATCGTGAGTGGACAACATGTTTGGCATGAAGCTGCCTCAGGTTCGCCCAGCACTAAAATACATTCAGGTGCCCGGTGAACATGAGGAAGCTAAAGGCCAAACGAGCTGTTCACCCGACTCTACAAACTCATCCACTCACTTATTTCTCCATCATGCCAGATTTAAAACATCCAAATATTCACAGCTCCTGAATTCCTTCATTTACTTTCTCTCTCTCGTTGATCGTTGGATTAGTAAGTAGCCCAGCGACTCATAAGATATGCACCAATCACAACCCTGAATTCTTTGTGAAATTGTGCTTTTATTTACAACTATAAAAGAGAATAAAATATGGAACAGCTGGAGAAGAATATTTACAAAGACAAGTATTTACAACGAGGGGGAATCCTGAGCATGTTGCGGCAGAATAATGAGCATCATGGTCGCAGGATTACTGAAGTAGAAATGCTGGAAGATGTGACTCTACTACACTTGATCAAAGGAAATATAACTTCCAAGCCATGTCATGAAAAAAGAAACGTTAAAAAAAAAAAATTAATCTGCGTAAAAATTGTCTTTCCGTGCCTTTAAATGGGCATTTTAAGGAGGGCGCACTCCGTCAGCAGCGTCAGCGTGGTGATCATGTACTTGCTGTTGGCGATCTGAAACAAAAGGAAACAAGCGTAAGTCAAACTTTTATACTTTTCCTTACTTCGCATAAGAAAGAGCTGTTTGTGTCAGACGTCGCACCTTGATCCTGCCGCTGGATTTTGCCGATCCCAGAGCGGTGGCGACCTGATCCAGGCTCCCCGCCGACAGATCCGTCCTGAAGTGTCTGTAAAAGTGGCTCTTCAGGTCCTGCATGAACCTCATCACCTCCTCTATATCGATACTGTCCTCCTCCTCCTCTTCTTCTTTGTTGCTCCCGTCGTGTCGCTCCTTCCTCACGCTGCTCCACAGCTGCCAGGCGTCCGGCCCGTTGACCGTGTATGTGACCTTCAGCGGAGAAGCGGCGGGGACAGTCCACATCATTTTCAGGTGCTTGATGGCGGACTCTGTGTGGCAGTTAGTCCACAAAGCTACCAGCCACTGGAGGCTCGTGTGGCTGATTTCCAACGGGCCGAAACAGCAGTCGAAGGTCAGCTGGAACCAAGATTTAACCAAAGAGGAGAGGCCGTCGGCCCCGCTGCTGCAGAAGAGCGGCATGCAGGTGAAGTCTTTAGGGAGCGAGCGCAGGTAGTCGGGGCTGCCGTTGATGCAGGTCAGCCAGCCGCTCCATACTGCCCTCGGGGGCTCGTCCTTTACGGCGAACAGAGGCTTCGAGTAGATCTGAGGAGGGAGAGGAAACAAGGCAGACTTAAGATTAAGGACCCTAAGTCTCTAACTAGACTCTTCTCCTCTGTCGCCGCCTTCCCCCGGTCCCTGTGCACCTTTAAGAAAAAGCTAAAGACCCAGCTCTTTCATGAACACCTACCGATGTGGGACACCTACCGATGTGGGACACCTACCGATGTGGGACACCTACCGATGTGGGACTGTTGGTGCCGATACTGATACCAGGAAGATGCTGTGTTTACCTGTACGAGCACAGTCTCAGCGTCATCATCCGCCTCTGACATCCCCTGCACCACACCGAAGGAGACTCTGAAACTTCCATGCGTTCCCTCCACCTCCACCGCCAGCCCCCGCTGCTTCTCCGCGGCGATAAACGCCGAGAGCTGCCGGGAGTAGCTCTTGAGCTGCGTGTGTCTGAACTGATAGAGCGGGGTGACGTAGGACAGCTGCCACTCTTTCTTCACCAGCAAGCTCAGCTGCTCCGGGTTCACCTTCTCCTAGGACAGGGAAAGACGACGAGGCAGAACGTGACCTATCTGGGATCAGTTTAGCAGAAGAGAAAATGACGTCCCGATTCGACTCACAGTGATATCAAGTGACTTCGGAGCCTTTCTGCTGGTGTTGAGTCTGCGCGCTGTCAAAGCCGGAGTCAAAACGAGCCGTGACGCTGCACCTAAGCAGCTGCGGATTGACTGCCTGTAGCTCTTACTTTTGCTCCTCCTCTGAACTCGAACGCTGTTGAGGGGAGTCCTTGTGACACTGACAAACAAACAGAATCCATCACATGAGCATGCTGTGCTGTTGTGGTTTTATGTCATTTTGCATACATGTGACGCAGCAACCTGCAAAGGGACTACAGATGGAAACGAGCCACAATCTGCCATATTTACATGTTTTAAGTGCGTTAATGTGCACTGTCACTATTTCAAATAATAAATAAAGTTTCTCGGATTACAAAACTAACTAAAACTAAGCATTTTACAAAATAAAAACAACGAATTATAAATTAAATCTAATGGAAATTCCCAAACTATCACAACCTTGTAACAGAAGCAATAAGGAAAATGTTAAAGTGAGCATACACCGCGAAAACCTTCATAATTCTGCTTGTTTACTCTTATGATATATGACATGAAATACAGTTATAAATATAGCCTGTAATTACAAAACCAATAACAAAGGTGTGTCTTTCCTTCAGCTGTTTTATTGTGAAAGGTTAAGACATTAAAAGCATAAACTGGGACATTTCGTGTGGTACATTGTATTTTTTTGTTAATGGATGATTGCCGAATTAAACATCGAAAGCCAAAGATACCTAAAATGTCTTTACAAACATTTTTCAAAGTACGGTTATTAAAAGAGAAGCGAAACAACTTTAAATTACACGATTTTCAAACGACATTTCGTACAGCCTCTTCGTACTGACTTGAACGCGTACTTTTGGAGGCAGTGCAGCCATAACATACTTTTTTGCTAATTGTCCCGTTGCTGCTGTCGTGAACGAAACCATAACTCAAGAAAATACAGTTATAAATATCGAAATAGTCGAGGATTTTAAGCTTTACCTGGTACAATGTCGCTCCATGTTTGGCGTGTCGGCCGCAGCAGCACAAAAACCGGAAACAAATTTGAACATCGCGCTTTCCCAGCAGTCTGCGCGCTTAGAAACAGCCAATCAGAGCGACCCAAACAGGAAGTGGACTCTGAGATGTTTTTAACGATTTTTTTTTTTTGTTCACAGAAAAACAATTACTACGAATCTTTAATCTGTACATAATAAAATAAAGAAAGTAATGTAAATTATAAACTGAAAAAAACATTAAATCACTATTAATATTGCCTATCTACTATATTTCCTACTATGGAGCAGGAAACATGAAATAATTAAATAAATAATGTGTTTTTACATAGAATGAATGAACATTTTAAATAATTATTTAAACATTATTTAATTATTTATGTATTTCATAAATTATTTATCTAGTTATTTATCTATTACCAATTTTAAATAATGAATGACACATTTAAATAATTATTTAATTATTTAATAACACGTGCATTTGATTAATTAAATAATTATATATTTATTTATATATTTATTGATTTATTTCCAATATTAAATAATTGATGACACATTTAATGATTTAATTAATTATATATTTATATATTTCATTTTGGCACTTTTAGTCCTCCATATCCTACCACTATTCAATCATTTATTGAAAAGAGGATAATTCAAGCTGCATGAATTGCTCATTCATCCACACCCCTTAAACCAACCATGAGGTTCAATAAGAATGCTAAAATTGAATGTACTTGATTAAATGAGCAGATACTGTTGCATATCATTTGATATTACAATATTGACCATACTGTGTGTTCTCTGTTGTGGGATCAATAAAGCTTTATCTCATCTTATCTCATATGTTGTGATTGTGTAGGTGTATTTCTGACATTTTGGAAACTTCAGAGGCATTGTGCAGTGTTTTAATGTGAAGGCTAAAGTATGGGTTTGTCAAGTGGCCAAAAAAACCCTGTGTATTTGTGTCGAGGCATGCGCATGTTTCATGAGCTGCTAGATTCACCAACACCATCCCCTCCCTGTTACCATGGAAACTGTGCTCTTTTCTTTTTTGTCCCCACGTATGTTGCTTCCCCGCTTTTTCCCCCTCTATTCTTTCTGTCCTTTTCAAAGAGTAAATCATCCCTTATTTCTCATATCTAATCTTCCTTTTCCCCCTCTTGCTTGTCATTGTTCTCAGCCCTGAGGTAAACATTTGTGCATACGAGTGTGTGTTTCGCACACACCTGTGAATTGAATGGAGGGGCTGCTCAATGGCACATACACTGCCATACATATACAGTATGATGACCACATCGACAGCCAATCAGCTTGTGGGTAGCTGCTGGTGGGGCTTCAACCAATGGGTGAAGCTTGCAGATGATGTGTG